TGGCCCTTGCTTTTGGAAGCTACTTGAACAACCTGGCCTGAAACCAGATTCATTTTACATCTGCTGTTTTGCCAACTTCACATAGACACTACCTGCCTTGCTTGCTTTTTAGGCCAGTATCTAAAGAGAAGTTTTTGAATACCGTTACTGATGTTTTCAGCACTTCTGTACACTCACGATAGGTCTTTTTTGGTTTCTCTGAGTTACCAGAGAAGTGGAAGTAGTTAAATTCTGCTTGTCAAATCTACTACATTTTGCCTTTTTTATTTCTTTTCAACTTTTATTTTCTACTAGGGTATTTAATGAATCATAAGAATACAAGCAGTCCTAGATCTCAGTATCCTGATTTGGATCAAAAATGTCATGAGATATTAGAAAAAAGAAGGTGAGTCTTTCAGCTAGTAGCTGTGGGATAGGTTATGATATTTATGATATTGCCTAAAGCAATAGTTATTGTAGTTAAAGCAGTCTGAGGTAGCTTGGATGCCCACTTATAAGTGTTTTTGTTTTTTTTTTTATCTTAGTCTCAGTGAGTCTGCAAAAATGCACTTAACACTGGAAACAAATGTTGCATGAATCGGAAGTGTTTTATTTATTTTTGGAATATCCTACCTTCATTAGTATTATTTTATAATATCCTTAGCCATCCAAATATGAATGTAAGCTTACTTCTCTGGTATTAAATTCTAATAAAAATGTAATTCTGAAAAATAGGAAGGGCAGATATATCTGCATAGTCACTAGAGGAAGAAGCATACTGGGGGAAATATGAGTGCAGAAATTTGCTTTTTTGAAGAAACTATTTAAAGTGGCAGATGTTGTGCCTTTATTTTTTGATAGTCGCATGCAGTCCCAAGTTCGGTCAGAGCCTCAGGCCTTCCTCCTTACCTAGCCTCTCCCTCTATCTCTAGCCCTTGCACGCTCCAGCTGCTGCCAGAGCCACATGCTCAGCAGTCCTGTTCTTGTGCTGCTGGCCAGAGATCCTCAGTGGGAATTGCCCTTCCCACCTCTCCCCCAGCCCCGATCTGTGCCCTGGTTCCTCATGTCCCAGGCCCATGGCTGCCAGGCAGAAACTGATGGAGGCTTGGCTTCCTGGCAGGAGGTAGTAGGGGTCTCCTCACTCCTGCTACCACTAGTGGCTCAGCCTGGCTTGTTGCTGCACAGAGCAGCGCTGTGCATGCATACGTAGAGTGTACCCAAACCAGTCTGTAGCCACTAGCCCCACTTGCCTCCCAGCCACTGCGCCTGGTAAGCATTTCAAGTAAGCATTAATTTTTTTTTTCCTCTGTTAAAGAGGACACCACTGTCAGAGAGGGTAAACAAATGAGAGACAAAGGTCAGAGGGAATTTCATAGTCGCTTGTTGAGACGCCTATCCCAGGACATGTTTATGTGTCTTGCTACTGATGGCTCAGTACAGTGCCCTGGGATGCTCAACATGCCTATTGTATTATACTTACTGTGCCTTACAGTCCAAGAACAGATGCTGACCAGCATTGGACTGCCTGCAGGGGATGATATTGTGCGTAATACTTGTGGATGTTTGGCTGTTCTCTTTTGTTGTTGATATTGTTGCAATTTCTAGAAAAAAACAGGAATGTCTTGAAATCAGGTTGTATGAGACTTCCTGGGGGCTCAAAGCTCTTGGCTACTTAGTTTGGCATCCCTTCCTGGTTGATGGCCTCCTGGAGTTAAGCAAGTTGTGTTAATTGCTCCATTTGGCTCATGATCATGTGAAGAATTCTGTGGGGCATGACTTGAGAGCATGGGACTTGAAATCTAAAAATGCTCGTTCGATAACAAGTGACTCCAGTCAAAACATTAGGCCAAGTATTGACCCCTCAGGAAAGGTGAGAGGGAAGGAATATGGTGAAGACACTAGTTATTAAGCTAAAGCTATCTAGTCAAGTCAGAAGGTTGTGCAGTAAATCAGGTTGCCATTAAGCAAGGACCATAGCAGGACATAATGGAGACAGCCAGATATGCTGAAGCATTGACTCTTCTCCCAGGTTGGTCACTTTGTCCTCTTCTGCCATTTTTAATGACCTGAAAGATTTAGATTCTGATCCTGCAGTGAGCTCTGTGCATAAAACCTGGTGCTCCAGTTTAAACTTATTGCAGGAGTTCAGGATAAGGTAATGTAATTGAGAACGGTTGATACCAGGGCCTCTTTTGGTGCAAGGTGCTGTACAAATATAAAATGTAGCAAGGAACCATTCTTGCCACAGAGCATTTGCAAGCTAAGTAACAGGAAAGAAAGGCCTGTTACAGCCTGCCCTCCCTCAAGAACCACCAGAAAATGTTTGCTCTCCTGCCATTTCTCCTTTCCGTAGGCATGAAGAAGTTGACGTTTCAAAAATATTTGGTTTCAATTAGCAAAAAGCCCACAATATCTGTCCCTGTTTTCTAAGACATGCAAATTTACAGAAGTTATGGTTCACAAACAAGGAGCCAGGTGTTTTATTTTTTTTGACTTTGGAAGAAGCAGACTCCGCGTACGAACGAGGGAGCCTGGGGACACAAGTGTGCAAGGAGCTGGGCAGCCACCAGCTGCCTGAGACCTGGCTGGGTGGTCACTGAGGCAACCTGTGTGCCTGCCTGGTTCTACTTCAAACACAAAAAAAAAAAGCAGTGCTAGAAGTGGCATGTTCTCGCAGAGCAGGTAGGTTTTACCAAATGAATGCTTTTGGATGGAGAACTGCTCTACCAGAAACTGAGGCAGGCTGCTGTTCAAATACATTATCTGCCAGAACAGTGCAATAGTCAAAACAGGACAAACTAATGGCAGGCTTATTTTTGTCTTTTAGTATTTTAGGTAAGGTTGGAGAGAAAGGGAGTAAGCTAAGTAGAAATCAAAAACAGGGTTAAAGGACGTGGTGGGACAAATGCGGTGGAAAAAGGGAGCAGGTGTGAGTGGTGGGAGAGGTAGGAACCTTGAATGTAAAAATGATGTGACTTTGGTGAGCTCTCCACAGAGGAAAGCTTCGGGCTGTTGCAGTCTGACCTGCCCCTGCTGGTTAGAGGTACTCTTCCCAAAATGTGGGAGGCATTACGGCAGCTGCGGAACTCTTGCAACAGCTCCATGCCAGAGGGAAAGGTTGAAAAGGCTGGAGATAAGTATTT